CAAGTCTCTTGGGCATTCATTAAACAAATATGCTGGAGTGAGCCTTGCAAATGGAGTGTGTGAGCCAATCGTCTCCCTCCTATCATAAGAAATTATAGTCCAGGGTTTCTAGATTCAATAGCTCCTTCCCTTGAGGCAGTTGCTCTGTTCAGCTGCTGCACTCATCACAAAATTGTCTGAGAAATTGTCTTAAAAATGACAGCGCTAGAGATTTGGTATCCAAGCCTTGTTTACTGGCTTCATGCACTGCCATTTCAGTCCCTGAATACTTAACAGCAATAAAGGGAAAGAAAAAGACCTTTGATGTAGTCATTCAGTCCTATCATGCTGAATTAGTCTGGGGTCTAAATATGAGCCAGCTATCTTTATCCAAAAGAAAGATCCTGATCTTAGCATTGGATCCTGTGAAAAGAGCAACCAAACTCAGAAAAAACCTCCAGCCATTGCATGAAGGACAGGGGGTTTCAAAGCACAACCAACTATATCCTCCAATAGATGGATTTATTTTCAAATCACCATTAATAGATTCAAAACTGGCTGGTGAGGGTCAAAGAAAGCAATTTGCTTCTCCTTAAGCCAGTTACATTATTGCACACTTGATGAACCAAAATGTTCCTCTAACAGGAGGCTGAGTGGCCTCCCAGTGAAATACGCAGCAAGTGAATTTTTCTGGTGTTTCAGCCTCCCACAGTTCCAAACATGTTATTTAAAATAAAAATAAACGCTTAAATTTTAAATCAAACCCCTTTGGGGTCCCTTTCTCTCTATTTCCAAAATGTGCATTTTTTACAAGGGTGATTCCCTCTTTGATGTTGTCAATAAGATGCTGTCGGTCCTTTCAATGGGAAACTGCACATAAGCATGAAGACACCAGCAATGCCCTTAGATAAACAGCTTCAGATAATGACCAGAAGAAAGAGGGATGTTGCGCCTCTGGAGGCAGAAGTAATTGCTTTTTTGGGAGCTTTGCCAGGTTACAAGCAGGAGGATCTATTGAGATCAGACAATCATAAGCAAACTTTTATTTGCAATGTATGAAGCTGCTGTTCCATTCATCAGTTTGGTTTCCCCAACCCCTACAGATGGCTGATTGATTACATGTTATCAAGTCAGTGTTGACTCCTAATGACCACATAGATATTCTCCATGACGATCTGTCGCTAGCCTCGTCCTTCAGCATTTTGCGTCACTAACTTGCATCCATCCCCCTTGCTGCTAGTTGACCTCTTCTTCCCTTTCCTTCCACCTTTCCCAGCATTAAGTCTTCTCCAGAAGGCAGGGTCTACAGAAGGCCACACAAATAGAAATCTGTTGAGTCCTTCCCCAACACTTTCTGAGATCAGAGGACCTGAAGTCTATCAGATCTGCTCTTCTTGTGGAGTTAGACACACTGTTGGAGAAATTCCCCACTGGAGTTTATTTGTAAGCAGAGACCAAACCACCATCCATCACAGGCAGACATTGTTTATTACAGTACTGGAGGCAGCAAAAAAGCCAAACCTAAAATGGTCTGGAATATAACCCCTATATATATTATTGTGCCAATTAGAATTTACATATTGGGTAGACTAGACCTGAAAACCAACTCCACCGGAAAAAAATAGAACTAAATTTCATTGAGATAAGCTATAATAACAGAATTTTGCAAGCCTGATTGTGCTTTATTTCCCCTTCTTCTTATACCCCAGTGAATTAGGGAGAAGCCTGCTGGAGTGGCTTCTGGATACTATCTTACTTCCCCGGAGGTAGCCCTCTTTGCATATGTAATGGTTCTTTTTATTTATTTATTTATTTATTTACTACCTTTATTTTTAACAAAACTATCTTTAATCTTACAAAAAAAGAAAGTAAAAAAAATTAAATATAAGATAGATTTTATTTTTACTTCTTTTTTACCCCAAAAAGAAGCTAGGATTGTGAAATCGATGGCACTGGATTTGAGGCAGAGATAATTTACTTACTGTATTTTCTATTATGCCTGCTGTCCCCCAACCGGCCACTGGGTGGCAGCACAAATGGCGAGTTTCATTTTATTTCCCTAATGTAGCAAAATTCTGTTACTTCAGAGGTAAACGCCATCCATAGACGGATAGTGATAATCAGTGATATAATTTAGGTGCTTATTTTGTTATGCTATCTGTGACCATCCTGAAATCGTTCATTCATTCATTCACTGCCATTACAGCTATCAGACTAACAAAGATTATGGCCGTCCATTTATATTTTATTGGTTTATTTTAGCTGTTCAACCTTTTAGTTTTACTTCTCCTGTTTTCTAAATACATTATTTTATACTCCACTATATTCTAGTTCTTATAGTTTCAATGTTAGTATTATAATTTTAGTGATATAGTGATTTAACATTTTGGGTTTGCTATTTTTAATCTTAGCAATTATTTCAGAGCTTTATGTAATAACATTTATGTCACACAGTTTATACTGCACTGCACTGTCATTTTTGTAAACTTAAACGTTCAGGAGAACCACAACTTTATACTCTTGAGTTAGTACTTCTAAATTTTGGTTATGATTCCCCAGTGTACAAGCCAGACTTTCACAATGTGATGGTTGTAAATTTCATCCCTTAATGTTACAGGTAAACCTTGCTTAATAACCACAATCAGGACCAGAAAATTCATCATTAAGCAGGGTAGTCGTTAAGGGAGGCATCATCAAAAATTTTACATTTTTGTGGCGGTCATTAAGTGAATCACATGGTTCCCCATTTATTTTGCTTGCTGGAAACCAGCTGGGAAGGTCACAAATGGCGATCACATGACCTTAGGACGCTGCAACCATCATAAGTGCGAGCTGGCTATCAAGTGCCCGGTTTGCGATCACGTGACTGCAGGGGCACTATGACAGTCGTAAGTGTGAGGACCAGTCATAAGTAACTTTTTTCAGTGCTTTTAACTTTTTTGGTCACTTAAATTAATGGTCATTAAGCAAAGACTACCTGTATTATCTGGTTGATGACTGATGTAAAGATTATTTATTTATATGGTTATACATCACGGTAATAATGGGAATTCCGGGGGGGGGAACTATGTGGTCACTAAGAGTCAACAGCAACTTGATGGCACATAATAATAGGAATGGCCTTTTTCATCTTTTACCATTTAAACAATTTATCTGATGCTGGTGTCACATTTTGTCTTCTACAGTATGTAAATTACCAATTTTTACTCCTTGGCTCTCTCACAAATTAGACTCTACATTTTAGCAGGAGAGCCATGTTCATTTGCGATAGGCAAAATTCAAGAAGAGTCTAAAATACTTTATTAAAAGGTATAAGCTTTGTTGAACTGTAGCCCACTTCATCAGATGCATGGGGTGGTTAAACTGATGCAAAATTTGAACAGGGATGAGGTAAAGGCCCGGGGGAAGAGGCAGGGAGAGAAATGGTAACATAGATGCAGGTTACATCTGAGACAGATTGCAAATACTTTATCAATTAGCAAGTGTAATGTGTTAAAAACAATGCATTTAAGGCTTTCTGAATTTGCTTGAAACCTTTGTATTTGAGTTTGGCACTCTCATGCTCTATCATGTTAACATAGTTTCTTTGTTCTGAAACATCACTTGGAGATTTCTAATCAAGTGTCCCGGGATGTTAAAATGCTCTGATAAGTGCTTCATCCTTGTTTTGAGTTTTGATGCCAAAGAACGTAAGACACAAATTCTTATAATAGGAAAGACACCACCAGTCAACCTTTGGAAGGCCTTGACCTGGCAACATGTAGTAGTCCCAGCCTTTTCTTGACTTTTCAGTTTTAGTTCCTGGACCTCTTATTTCTGGAGAGATTAGACCAGTGTTTCTCAACCTTGTCAACTAAGATGTATGGACTTCAACTCCCAAAATTCCCCAGCCAGCAAAGGGCTAGATTGTAGTCTCACCAGTTGCCAGTAAAAGGATAAATTTGTACATCTTGCTTAGCTGTTGGACTATAGAGAGTTGGAAATTATGATTTCCTAAGGCTCCTTCCCAACTACAACTCCCAGCAGCCTCAATCAGCATGATCAACAGAGGAACACTGGGAGCTGTAGTTCAGCCACATTTGGAGGGCTGTAAGTGGCTCAGACTTCATCTAGCCCCCCTGCAGTGAAGACAAAACTCCTTCATGTTCCCCCAGCAGGAATGAAAAAATAGATGGCGCTCCATAAATGGATGGTATGACTCATGACATTGGGCAGCATACAAATTTAATAACAAAGAACATTTAGAACTCCTATCAGCCAACCAACCAGCATTGCCAATGAGGAGGAGGATGGAAATTGCAATGCACCAACTTCCAGAATATCACTGAATCTTCCTTCCTGCCTTATAGGAACACCACAATAGATAGAAAAGGAAATTAATAGAGGGAAGGGGATGCGGCTTGAGTATTCTAATAGAAGAGAATATCTGTAGCTCAGGGTTGAATTGTGGAGTCCCTGGTGCTCGCTAAGCTTGGTGGTTTGTTTGCAGACGTTTCATTACCCAGCTAGGTAATGAACTGAACTAGATACTGATGATGTTCCCTAGCTGGGTAATGAAACATCTGCGAGCAAACCACCAAGCTCAGAGAGCACCAAGGATGCCACAGCTTGAGTATTTTCTGAAGCTGAAAAGAAAAAGAAAAAAAGCAGATAAAAAACTCAACCAATTTTAATAAATTTCAGCATTACAAAAACAGCCCACAAGCATGGGTTTCAGACATACAAACTTAAAAATTAACCTGCATTTGATCTGAATTGTACATTCAGAGTTTGGCTTGGCAGAATGACTGGGCATACATGAAACTTCCCCTGTGGAAGAAATCCTTTGGAGGAGGGACTTGATTAGAAGCAAGAAGCAAGCTGGCATTTTGAATGAATAGATTTGGTTTGTGATGAGTCACAAGAGCAAAGTCAAGGTGGGGTTGATGGGTGACCCGTCTCCTCCAGCAGCTAAGGCCTGCGTTGTGAAAATTGGAGTCCGGAGTTTCTGAAAGCCACTGAGTTCCTTCCTTCCAACCAGCTTAAGGAGTCAGGGTGAGAACAGCCGTATCAGACAGGTGAAAAAAAGGGAGAAAGATCTCTTTGGAGGCCATAGTTGTAAAGGTACGATGGAGCATGCCTGCTCCCTCTGCATCGAAGAAAGCCACATGCTTCCCATAATAATTAAAAAACACCCGAATCCTTTTGAGCTCCCCATTGTGCTGCAGCCGAACAGAATTTGGAGGGTCAAGGACAAAATATTCATTGCCACGCTTCCCTATGGCCCAAATGCCATTTTTGGGCCCAATGAAGATTGGATCCTTCCTCCTCACAGACTTTCGGGCCACACCCACTGTCCATTCCCCCTCATTTTCCACAGAAACGTCCCAATAGTTCCGGCCCTCCGTGAACTCCTCGCAGCCCAGCACGCTGAGACTTGAGTCAAATCGTTTGCGATTCTTCGGCAGGTTTTGAGCCTCGTTTCCCAGCTTCACACTTTTACAGTCCGCAGACACGTTGAGGTGGGGGTGAGCTGTCTCCTTGTCTAAAGTTATCACCGCTGAAAGAGGGAAGAAATAAAAGATGGAGAAAGCATCACTGTGGGGAGAGCAATCTTGGATGCCAACATTGAGGGCTGCCATGTCTGGACTGCATAATCAGATGACCACTAGAAAGCAGCAGAGGGTTTTCTAACTCTTTGCTGCTCCCTAGAGGTCACCTGGATCTACGCAGCCTAGACATGATAGCCCAGATCTCTGGAGAAAGCTCTAATGCTGGGAAAGGTGGAAAGAGAAAAAGAGGACCAGCAGCAAGGGGGATGGACTCAGTTACAGTGGTGATGGATGTACCATTGGAAGACCTGAAGGACCAGGTTAAGGATAGATTGTCACGGACAAAATCTATCTATGAGGTCGCTAGGAACTGAAAATGACTTGATGGCATATAATCTATCAAGGCAACTTTTGGGCCATATGCTGCCCTCTCCGACTCTCCTCCCATTCCCCCAAAAAATCTGGACTGCCAGATTGTCTCCTCGAAATGCAATGGTTTGGGTTAATCTTAATGCATCTTTTTTTCACTTTCCCTCCATTTCCCCCCAAAGAACAAAAACATACCCCGAATATTTTCAGCCTTCCCCCCATCTACCCCTGGGTCTAGTAAAAGCAATTTTTAAAAAGCATGAAACCTCAGGCTGAAAAAGATGTTAGTTATTTATCTACCTGTAGGGTTTATTTACTGCCTCAGTCCAAAAGGGATTCTAGCCAATGCACAAAATAATATAAATCCATAATAAATAAAACCAATAGTGAAACAATATAGTCATAGAGGTAGCCCACCCACCCCCTTTAAAAAGCATATTTAAAGCCCCAGAAGGCAGCTGTGATCTGATGTGGACCTTCTCTTTCATCCTCTGCCTCTGCAAATTCACATGTATGGAGGCAGACAGCAACTTTTTCTGAATTAAATGCTAGTAAAATGGCAACAAAGAAGTCTAAACAGCCTCCCTCCATCCTAAATATGATCTACCCTGATCTGCAAACTTACCTTGCTGCAAGGGAAATCCAGGTTTCAGAGTGTCTGGGGAAGGAAAGTCAAAGTCTGATCATAAAACTTTCTTTTTTTTTTTTTTTAATACTCTCTATTACTTTCCCTCCACCCTTACTGACATGCGGATCACCCTTCTTAAGTCAACAGTTCCCTTAATAAAGCTTGTGAGTTATTTTATCTCAACACAGTACTGAATAAGAAAACAACTGAGCTTATAAATATATATACAGATGTGACAGTATGCAAAGAGATTAAACTAAAATGTAACGTGGGGGGTACAGGCATGACAACCAAGAGAGCCTGGCTATAATGTATGAGGACTTCATCTGTGGTGGGGCCCACTCTGTAAACTGTGTGTTTGCACACTTCCAAGTCAGTCTGGATTCCTGGCAACTGCCTGGAGCAGTCCTTGCAGTTTTCTTGCCAAGGTTTTTCAGAAGTGGTTTGCCCTGGCCTCCTCCTTCCTAGGGCTGAGAGAGAGGGACTGGCCCAAGGTCATCCAGCTGGCTATGTGCCTAAGGCAGGACTAGAACTCATGGTCTCCTGGTTTTTACCCCAGTGCCTTTAACCATCACACCAAGCTGGGTTTCCTGTAAGAATTAGCAGCTTTTGGAAGTCCTACATGTCTCCAGATTCATCCATTCACTCCTTTCCCTTTCATTCATTTCATATCCTCTCCTTTTCTTTACTTATCTCCTTAGAATGCCCACTGGTTTCCCGATGCCATCAAAATTCCTCTGCCTTCTCTGAATTTAATATCTTGTTTCCTCCTCCTCCTTTCTTTTTCAATCAACCAGCTTGGCTACCACATCAAAGTCACCATTTAAGATAGGAAGTTTGTGGTGGCAAAGGAATATATATCGCATGTATTAAATATACCACATATCGAAATCAGACATTAAGACAGAAAGATTGTGGTGACTCCTCTGTAATAAAACCAACTTTGGGAGGAGGGGAACCAAACTATCCTTTGAGCATTAGAGGGAGCCATCAGCAGGGCAACCAAGGTTTGCTAAAGTTCAAAAACACCAATTGCATGAAGGGTTGGAGAACTAATGGAAAGCAGCAGTGTGCCCAGGGGTTGGGGTAAAAAAAAAAAAAAGTCAAAATGGCAGTTGTTACTACTGAAGCTCTTAATAGATCAACCCAGAGTTCTCACTCAATCACAAATGACCAGGCTCAAATCATCCTACTTTGGACACCTTATGCAAAGACCCAGCTCTCTGGAGAAGATGATGCTGGGAAAGGTGGAAGGAAAGAGAAGAGGAGGACCAGAAGCAAGGGGGATGGACTCCATTATAGCGGTGGTGGGAGCACCACTGGAAGACCAAGTTAGGGACAGATCATCATGGAGAACATCTATCTATGTGGTCAGTCAAAAAGGACTTGATGGCACATAATCAATCAATCAATCAATGGACTGCAAGAAAGGTTATACACAGCTCAGTGAGAACTGAGCTCTGATGAGTTTGCTCAGGTGGGCAGAGAAAACGGAGGACATTAGACAGTAAAAAACACAAGATAGGAACTCTGCATTCAATACTGCACTCTTTTGTTGCAGCAATTTACTTGCAGAGGTTCACATCCCAACTGTTGCTCAACATCCAGGGGCAGAATGAATCTTGGTCAAGAAAAGTGAAAATCAATACAGCCTAATCCAACAAAGCAGCTTTCTCAAGAGCAGGTAGCACATTGGGGTACTATTCTGTTCTTCCATGGCACTTACACACATCCTCTAGGCAGAGACTGGTTTGCAAAACACCCGTATACTTTGGGCCATGGCGTAATAGTGAGTATAAATTGGCCAGCGTCTCTTTTACCTTGGAACTGCTTGGAGGAAATCTCCAGAAAGATGCTAGCATCCCATAAATCCCATATTTCCCAGTGTGCCTTACGGGGAAAAGGTTGGAAAGACTGGAGAGTCTCCTTTATCTTACATCTGAAAGGAAACAGGCATTCATTCATTTGCTTTCCTTCTTTTAAGTTTATTTATTTATACTTAAGAAATTACATATAGGGAAAGACAAACTCAAAAGGAAAGGAAAGGAATCGGAAAAGTGCAAGAAAAGAAAAAAAACTCAAGTTAAGAAATATATTAACTACCACCAACCTTCTTTTCAACGGGTAACTACATCCTCATTGTCCCCCCCCCCGCCCCATTAAGCATTTTACAAATCCCTTCACTCCTCCATTGAAACAGCATCTTTCTTAATCTTCAAATCCATAAATCATCAACTCAGTTTTTTCTTCTTTCAGCAAAGAGTCCATATAAAGTTTCCAGTCTTTCAAAAAAGTTTGTATTGTTTGTTCTCTGACCAAACAGGGCAGTTTTGCCGTTTCCACAAATTCTGAGATTTTCACTGTGGGAATTTTATTATTCTTCCATTATTGTGCGTACAATAATGTTGCTGCAGTTACTGTATACAATATCAGTCTACCATGAGTCTTTTCTAACTCACTGTCTGTAAGTCCCAATTTAAAAAGTTCTGGTTTCTTAGCAATTTTAATGTTTAAAATCTTCTGCATCATTATATTAATTCATTCATCTTTCATCCAGATCTACCAGGAAGAAGTCAGAAACTTTTATTTGTACAGGAATTTAAAAAAAAAATGATTTGATACCCCTATCAAAATAGAGAGAGGAAGGGATCCTAGGAATGTGCTTCGCAGAGATGCACTAAATGAATAGATTTCATGATCACAGGTATTTTTCTCTC